ATTAATTTAGGCATCAATAGGTTAAATATTTTTGAATATTTACATAAAAGCGTAATTCAAGATAAGACTGTCCAACTCTGATTAAACCATTATTCTAACCTTCTTCAATGTAAATATGCTTACATGTCCTCCAATAATAATAAATAGAGTAAAATAATAATAATAATAATAATAGAGTAAAATAATAAATGTAACAACAGAAATAATAAATAGAGTAAAATAATAAATGTAACGGCAGAAATAATAAATAGAGTAAAATAATAAATGTAATAATATTAACAACAACAACAAAGTAAAATAATAAATAACATTGACTCGAGGATAAGCTGGGGGAGATTTTTTTCAGCCTAAAAAAAGGACTGAAAAACTAGGCTTATACTCGAGTATATACAGTATCTAAGTTTGTGAGGTATTAAAAATGAAACTGTGACATGTTAGCTGGTTGGTTCACAATTATTTGCACAAAGAGGATTTTTCTTAGTCTATTTAGTATATTACTACAATCACAGTCTTCTTGCCATTGCAAAAGAATCCCATAAGATTCTTCCTGCTCAATGAAATCTCATATTTCCACTGCACTAACCCCCATTTTACTTCTAAAAGTGAACTTTTCACTGAAGTGATGCTTTGGATGCACATCCCATAAAAACCACCTGCAGGCTGCCTGGATGTCATACTAAAATAATTTGTCTGCTTCGTTGCATGACTTCCAAATAGCCTATTCTCTTATGTTTCGGACCATCTCAAAAATAACACAACCACTGATCAGTTTCAGCTAGAAAACTTGTAAGGCCTAAATATATTGATATGTGTGGATAAAACTGCAAAACAGGTTCTTTAAAAAAGCAACATTTGTTTTCTTATAGGAATTTGAAGTAAGAAAAAGAGTGCTTCCTGTTGTTATTTTTGTTCTGATTGAAGTATATTCATTATAGCTAGAAAACTAATTGGTACGTGCCCCCTCCTTGTTTGTTAAAGGATATAGTTTCTATTTATAATGATTTCCTGGTGGGAGAATTGTGAGTGAAACTGCACTAATCAGACTGAACTATGTAGTGAGTGAAAAAAAACAGCTCCTTATTTTAAAAAAGAAAAAAAAACCTCAATGACTTGAAATAAAAAACACACTATCTTTTCTAAATATTTTTGCGAACTTTTTCAGGTTTTATATAATTATTTCTCTTCAACATATATGTCTCAGCACAAAGAAAACTATACAAATGCAAATGATGTGCCAGTAGAATTATTTAGCCTATCATTTCTTTATGCAAATACCATTTAGTAAGTGTGAGCCATTTAGGAAGTATGAGTCAAACATTTTTTGGATGTAGATACAGATAATATGCTAGATTTATGTAATCAGCCAATACCAATAGCTACCAATATTTCTGTGGCCATTTTCAACTCCTGTAAGATATGTGTATGTTTTATTTTGAAGGATCACATGTTCATTTGACAATTATGTTTGTATTTTAGGTTAGCACATCTAAATTGATATAAAACCCTTGTTTGATCATTGCAAATCTACTTCACACTGAATTTTCTTACATATTTCTTCCTTATTCACATTCAGTTGCTGACTTCAGCAATTTGTTCCATATCTCTACCTCAAATTTATGTAAAAATCTATAAAAGTTAGGAACCTGAAAATTGGATTTCTCTTGAATAGTCACTACCCACAGGTATGGAAAATGTCTTAAAAGTCAGTGGTATTAGTTTTACATTTAAAAAAAATCAAAGCCTGCTTGCTGTTGGATCATGTCATTTCATGGTTTTGTCACTTCCATCATCTGGTTAATGTAAGGGTCAAGGCTCATGAAAGAAAAAAAATGAAACAAAAATGAAACAAAAAGATGAAAATATATTCCTTCAAAAATAGGGTTTGGGTTTGGATATAAAGTTGGTTAGAACATCCCAATAATCCCTATGTTTATATTAGAAATGATTTTAATGAAGTCTTTCATTGCCATAATGTCTCAAATTCTGTATTTCTTTTTTTTTCTTTGTAATTAAACATGGGGCCCTACTTGAATTTCTCAATGTATATCCATAAAAGCCATCAACTGTTCTCTTCACATCTCTTGTCAGTAGAACACATTAATGCTATATTGACAAAAATTGTGGTTTTACTAGTAACACTTTTCAGTCTGTGATTAGCAGAATAGCTGAAGATGATCTTATGGAAAATCTTATCTAGTGAGATAGAACTTGTTAAAGCTTAGCTTTAATAATATCACGTTTGCCTATATTTATGGCTCTTGAACAATTGATAATAATTAGTTCTTTCTTACCAAGAGGCTTGTTTAAAAGCAATGCTTTTTAAAAAAAAATCCTCGGAATGCAACTGGCAGTGGAATGACTTCACAGACAATATGGTAGTGGCATTTTTGTATGATCTGATGTAGCAATCTCTGCAACCTCTCTCACAGAAGTAAACAACATTGAAATCCTATCTGTGGAACTCGATAGCTGTAGTGTATCATCACTCTATAAACCACCTGGGGTTGATTTCTATTTTACGCCCCCAACCAATTGCCGCAATCATCAAGCCCATTTTATTGTGGAAGATTTCAATAGCCATAGCTGTGTCTAGGGCTATGATGAAGATGATAGGAATGGTGAAGCAGTTCTAATGTGGGCCAACAATAGTCAAATGAGCCTCCTCCATGGCAGTAAATTACCACCATCATTTAATAGTGACTGATGGAAGTGTGGTTATAACCCTGATCTGATTTTTGTAAATGATACCATAGTCCACCAACGCGTTAAAAGGGTATTAAACCCAATGCTTAATACTCAACACAGACCAATATGCTGCCAAGCATATGCAGCTGTAAAACCAAAAAGTGCCCCTTTCCGCAGAAGATATAATTTAAATAAAGCTAACTGGACAAAGTTTACAGATAACTTGGAAGCAGCTACTTCTGATATAGAACCATCTATAGAAGGCTATGACTGTTTGTAGAAGCTGTGAAAAGATCCTCAAGGCTCTCAATCCCTACAGGCTGTCACATAAGCTACCTACCAGGCCTAAATGAAGAATCGTGAAAGCAGCTACAGGAATATCTCAGACTATTTCAAGAAAATCCATACAGCAATGAGACTACAGCAGCAGGACAAAAATTATCTACAGCCATAGCTAATGCTAAGAAAGACCACTGGATAGAACTGCTTGAGAATCTTGATATGTCTGAGAGTAGCCGAAGAGCCTGACAATGGCTGAGAGGCTTGGATAGTGACCCTCAGGTTTCAGACCAGGGAAAAACTGTATAGCCCAAATTCTTAATCTGAATGAGTACATAGAGGAAGTATATGAGAAAGGTTGCGTTACTGGAACAGTTTTTTTGTCGACTTTACGGCACCCTATAAACATAGGAAAATGCTGCAGAAAGTCTACCATATTACCTGGGACTATGATTTTACAAAAAGTGTCCAGACCCTCTTAGAAAACCATAGTTTTTATGTGGAGTTTTGAGGCAGGAAAAGTAGATGGAGGAAGCAAAAGAATGGTTTACCCCAAGGCAGCGTTCTTGCACCAACCTTGTTTAACAGCCACAACCATGATTCACAAAGAATTTTATATATGCTGATGACCTTGGCTTAACAACACAAGCAAAAACTTTGAAACATTTGAAATCCAACTTACTAATACCTTGAAAGATCTCTCCAGCTACTGCAAAGATAACCACCTGAAGCCTAACCCTGCCAATACACAAGTGTGTGCTTTCCATCTACGGAACCATGAAGCCAACAGGAAATTGAAAGTTACCTGGGAAGGTCAAGAGCTTGAACATTGTTTCCATCCTAAATATCTCAGTGTCACCTTTGACTGAACACTAACATATAGGAAACACTTCATTAACATCAAGCACAAAGTAGCTGCATGCAGTAACATCCTGCAGAAGCTTACTGGCAGCTAATGGGGTACAGACTCAAAATTAATAAGAACATCAGCCCTGGCCTTGTCTTACTCAGCTGTATGCCTTCCCTGTTTATCTGCCCACACAAAGCAGGTGAACATAGCATTAAACGAAACATGCAGAATAATCACATAATGTCTTAAACTTATACCTGTTGATAAACTCTTCAAGCTAGTTGGCATTGCCCCCCCCCACCCCTGATGTGTAAATGTGAGAAAAATAAGGTTGAACCTGGACAGTTAAACCAAGAAATCCCAAATGGATGACCCCCCATGAGGGTCTTCCTCCAGGGGCAAACCAAGAATGTGCAACTTGGAAGTCCCTGAATACACTCAGAAGTGGAGTGGGCAGATCAAAAGACAACCTGGCAAAATGGCACTACCTAAAAGAATCTCCCACCTTGTGTAACTGTGGAGCAGAACAGACAAATCCACATCTGTATGCTTGTCCACTATTCCCTGCCTCATGTGAAGAATTGTTGGAGGCTACAATGTTATTGCTGTTGCCCATTTTTGGTCAAAAGATATTTAGCTGCTTGTGCTCCTATTTTTATCTGTTTTATCCTGATTTATGCAACGCTTTTGATACGAAATAAATAAACCAAGAGGCTGATTTTGTTTTCATGTTGTTCTAGACTGCTGTCTATTTCCATTTTCAGAATTAATTAGTTTTCTATTGCACTTAAAGCCTGACAAGGTTGATCTTTCAAGTAGTTGGCTGGCTTGTTAATGTCCTTGGTGCAGGGCCATAGTTCAGTCTTCTTTCTTTTTGTGCCACTGTCTTCATTCCATAACATTTTGCATAAAAAGAGATGTCTTTATTTTGTTTGTTTGTTTGCAAAAGCTGCTGAAAGATATATTGTAAGTATGGGTATGTAACATCAATTCAACAAATTAAATTAATGAAATTTCATTGTGCTTTTTATTAATTTAACTCAATATATTATATAACTGATTCTTCTTGTCTATGAGAAAAATAAAAAAAATCAAATTGCTTACACAGGTATGAACATGTAATTTTTTTCTTATTTTTCTTTTCCTCAAAAAAGGCACAAAGATGTCCATAATGAAAGATACCAACCTTTTCATTAGTTCAAGAAGTCTGGTGATGCATAGATCAACTGGCACATATAAATATATTTTTCTACTTTTAGGCAACAATACAGGACTTGGAACAAAGGCGCCCACAATTGGAGGAGCTAATAACAGCAGCACAGAATCTGAAAAATAAAACCAGCAATCAAGAGGCTCGAACAGTCATTACTGATCGGAGTAAGTAGTTAAAATTATAATGATACCAAAATCTATCTAAAAGATGAGCAAGCAAAAGGTTTTTGGCATAGTGATATTGCCCTGAGTCCTCTTGCCTACATTGTCAAATATATCCTCCTCTCTCAAAAACATCCCCTGAGTAGGGAACCCTTAGGAAGGGCTTGGCCTTTGGCATGTGAAAGTGAGAAGCATAAGCAAAACTGAATTTTTGCAAGCTGTTCCATCAAGCTTTTCATAAAGGAGCAGCAAAATCAAGTTTCTTGTGGCATGTTTACAAGTAATATTGTTCAAATCAACTTATTATAAAGTATTGTCACCATCACACTGTCCGAAGCTAGTTTTCGATTAGACAAAATCCATTTTTCTTTTTTGTATAAATTTTGTTAGCATTTCAAGTATCAAAATAGCTTTAAAATGCATGGAACCTAAAATGAAATATGAAAGAAAGACCTCTCCACACTTTGCAAGCACCTAGAAAAATTGCAAGACTGATATTGCTCTAGCTGTGTGAATTCTAGCCTAAGGTACACAATGTCAAAATAGTCACATGCATGGAGATAACACACACAATACTGACATATCCTCTGACTGTGATGTATCACCAGAGCTCCAAGTATCATTGCAATCACACAATTAAAATATAGTAGGCTCTCTGTTTTTGCAGAAGTCGGGGAGCAGGACCTCCCGCAAAATTGGAAAAATGATATCTCTAGTTCTCTCTCCCCACCCCTATTTTAAATACAAAAAGTACCTCTACTGGTGTGATCACTGGGACCGGTTGCATGTGTGTTCCCTTGCTCACTTGTTCACTTAGTTAGGTGGGGATGGTATAACGGAGTGGACGGAGAGGGAAAGGGAGCACCCACCCCATATCCATCCCCTCTCTCATCTGCATGAGTAAGCAAGAGCTTGACTACATGTGGCCAAGCCCAGCCAGCCCATCAGTTTGATTTCCTCCTGGTGTCTCAGCTGAAAATGGTGTGAGAAGTGGAAGCAACAGCAAATACAGCAGCCCCTTTGTATCCACTGGAGTTGGATCCTGGCATCCCTGTGGATACAAAAAACTCAACTTATATTATGTACAATAGTGTAGTAAAATGTCTCTTATATAAGATGGCAAAAGATGGTAAAATCAAGGTTTTTCTTTAGGAGTCTTTTGTACCATGGAGGTCCAACTATTCAGTTTCAGTGAATACCATAATAAAAACACAAAATGATTAACCTACAAATGTGGACATCCAACTATAATATTAATTAACTATGTTGTTGTGTAGTTTTCAAAAATCTCATGCATGTATTGCCTTTCTTACAAAGAGAAGAAAAGCTTGAATGAATCTCTGTGAAGATGAGATACCAAACTGGATGGTCAGTCTGATGTTTTGTCCTCTATATTGCTGCAGTAGAGGGTCCAGTCATGTAGATAGTTTTTTCAATTAATGAACGAGGTCATTAGGTACAGGATATAGTTAGCTGCACATAAACAGTTGTTTAGGGGAGGATCTGAGGGAAAATATGGATGCCACAAAACAGCCCTTAGGTCCTTGAGCTTGTCATCCTTGTCTACAGTTTGGTCTTGACTTGGGGGCCTTATGGGCTGGTCCTATATATCAGGATCTGATCCCAAGTTTTCAGTTTATGCCAGATTATCTGGCAGTGTGGATTCATATAATCCAGTTTAAAGCAGAAAACTATTAATCGAGAGAGGCCCTATATCCTGGGATATAGGGCCTCTCTCGATGGGCCCTTGGTCTCAACAATGATATGGTGGTCCTAAATGATCCAGAGAAGAATAAAGGAATTGCCCATGTGTTGATGCTAAAAAAATTGAATTCTGTTAATTAAACTCCAAATTCCTATTTAGGCTTAACTAGACACAGATTAGCATGCACAGATTTGTTTTCTCTTTTGCTTCAAATTCCCCCTTTTAAACTAAATATTTATCTCAATTAGTGTGTGGAAAGTCCATCCTCCTTAATCCAGCTTGGTTCATTCATATAACCAAATTATGAATATGATTATTTGATTATCTGGCTTTGGATCTATGCACAATAGTTGTCTAATATTTACATATGTTGTTTAATGTTGTTTTAAATTGTAATTTAATCGATTTTAATTGCTGTTGTTTGGGCATGCCAATTATGTAAGTCACCTTGAGTCCCCCCGGGGTGAGAAAGGTGGGATATAAATGTCATAAATAAATAAATATATGAGTCTCTGAGGGAAATTTGATCATTTCCCTTGAATACAGTGACTAGGAGAGATCAATTTGATTGAAGCTGTGGTAGCTATGGTAGAAAGGAGGATGTGGCCAATTCCTTTTCTGCGACCTATTTTCCCTCCGTATCTATTTTACCTTTCATGGGATGATGCAGATACTTTCATGGAGTTCTACAGGAGGGGTTCAGGAGGCGTTTAAAAAGACCATACAAAAGTTTTATCACATGTTCTGATCAGTTTCACAGCCCTATGGACTCCATTTAATTTTTTAAGTGATCAAGGACATGAATCATGCTTGTTTCTAGTAATATGTTATTTCTGTGCAGTGAAGCTACTAGAAGTTGAAAATACAAAATAATAATAATAATGATAATGATGATGATGATGATGATGATAATAATAATAATAATAATAATGTAACAAGCACAGTGACCAGACATTGGGTTACTTGGATTATGTTGCTGGTTCACTTACAATTATTATAGTATCATAAAGAAATACATTGTTTTCAGAAGCAGTTAATGACTGTATTTTGTTTATAATTGAAAATCCATACTGCTGTGACTCTCCGTCTCTTACATTTAATGAAATATTCTCTGAGTATTTGATCTTTGGAAGCCTTGGCTGATGAAAGTTCTACTAGGGTGAGCTATTTTATCTTTGTCATGCATTAATTTCCAAACAGCAGTCACAAGAGTAATTTATCTGCTTTGGAAGCTTAATGAAATCATATGCTAACTATGTGAGTATGACATTTTAAAGGGAAAAGCTACTATATTTATCTAAATGATGCTATAATTTAGATTTGTGGGTTATTTTTCTTAATAGTACCAAAGGTTGTCACTGGAACTATTTATTAAATGGGAATCAGGCCACCAAGTGAAGTGTGCATCCATAATTCATTAGTACTGTATTCCCTGTATGAAAACTGTTATTCTGAGTTTCACTGTTCTGATACGTTACAATAAATCTTAACAAGCTGGTAAGATTTTACTTTCTTTAAAGTATGTCCATGCTTTCCCTTAAACTATTGTCCATGCTTTCTAAAAACAGAGTATTTGTTCTTTGCTTTATTACTTTTTATAAAGAGTGATTTAATAACTTCTTGCTGATTTTGCCTTATGTAAGATTTTTGCTAAATACCTAAATTACAATCTATTGTTAGTCTCAATCTGCTTCTATAACACATTCATTTGGGAGAAAATAGCAAGTTCTTCTAGGCAGCTTCATCTTTATATAGTACTCCTTCCGAGCCAGTTCAGAATTCTTCTGTGCTAATAATTAATGTCATTGATATTAGGAACGGGTTTTGTGTTTGCACACTCTAATGTCTTTACTGCATAGTGTTATTTTTTTTACCACCCACCACTCTTGATACCATGCTTTGACAATAAAAATGCAATTGACACTCAAGCAGCTATCCTAAATGGTTAGAACCTGTGTACATAGAGGAAATGCTATCTAGTGAGGCTAAGCTCGCTTCCAGTTTGGCAATGGAGTGAAATTTGGATGATGGATATAAAGCGAATAGTTCACATACATTTCCTGCTACTAGTTCACAAACCAATTGATTCCAATTAGAGAGAGAGAGAGAGAGAGAGATTCCAGCTAAACTGGAATTTCTTTTGTGTAAGTTTGTTTGATCATGGGTAAACGGTCTCTAAAGGTGGTTCCAGACAGGCAAAAGATCCGATAGCAACTGTAATTTTGAATCCCAGTTCTTCTTGGGATGGAGGCCACACTGCTGGCCTAAACCCCAGGGTTTTGCAGAGGTTTGTCCAGATACTCACCCCTGCTAATCTGAGATAAGCAGGGGTGGGCATCATAGGCATTGCCAGCCTCCCCCTCCCTTCCCTCATTTCCCCCTGCACTTACTAGGAGAAGACTCCAACAAGACCTGAAGCCTTTCTCCCTCACTGGGTAAGAGAACAGGATTTCAGCTCCAAGGCCCCCCTGTTGGATCTCCCAGGGAGGAGGGAGAGAGGCAAAGCCTTCAGACCTACTTCTGGTGAAGTCTCCGGTAAGTTGAGGGGGGGAAGGAGCCAAGGAGGGAGTCAGAGAGAGGAGGGAAGGAAGGAAAACATGTGGGTTTTTTTGAAATGCAGAGACACACACACATACACACATGAAGATGCAGTTCTTTTGGCCAGAAATGAGATAAAAGAGGAACTTTTTATTCTGAGGTTTCCCTCCTTCATAGCTCTTCCTCCCGTGTTTTCAGGGAACATTGTTCGGCCACCCTCTAGCTTTAACTAGGAGCTTCTGGGATAAAGGTACTGTCTGGCTCTGAAGGTGATGGACTCCGCTTCTTTTGATATGTTTAGAAACCAGTTGGATTATCATCTTTTGAGAGTGCATTAGTTGCATATTAGGAGGACAGTGGACTAGATTGCCCTTTTGGCCCCTTTCCAACTCTTAAGATTATGTGATGCTATGATTCAGAGATATCTTCTTAATGCTTCAGGGTGACAGCAGGGTAATTGAAATCCTTATAGCCACATTTGTTTGAAAGCAAGATGTCCGATAATAGCCATTGCCATTTGCACATGTTGGGGGAAGGGAGCAGAAGAAACTAACAACACAAATAAAGAAGGTTGCCAAAATTATTTTAAAAACTTTCCTGAACATTGAAAAATCCTAAGAGTATTTTTATTGTCTTTCAAGATTCAAACCCTAATATCCCAGGTCCTTGTCCA